GTAGTTAGCCTGATGGGTTTCCTTTGTAACTTACCAGATGTTTTCACCTCACAGCTCACAAGAGTTTCTCCTTTGTGTTGACTTTGGCCAGTCTGATGAGACGTGTCTTGGTGACTGCCTCTTTGCAATGTATTTCCCAGGTGTCCATTGAGCTTCTTATACCTGGATGCCTAAATTTCTAGCAAGACCAGGGAATTTTTCCTCCATTATTCCCTCCAATACATTTTCCAGACCTTGGGCATTTTCTTTCTTCACCCTCAGGAATGTCTATGATTCTTACATTTGGCAATTTTACCTAATCCTATATTTCTTGTAGGCTTTGTTCATTCCTCTTAATCCTTTGTTTTTCATCTTTGACTGGCTAAGTTAATTGGAAAGAGTTGTCTTCAAACTCTGAGATTCTTTTTCTGCCTGGTGCAGTCTCTTCTTAAAACATTCCACAGAGATTTGTGCTAATATTTTCTTACATGAATGTTTCATTTCCAGAAGTTCTATTTGGTGTGTGTTTGTTTTTTATAATAAGTCAATTTCTTTGGTGATTTTTTAACTCATTTATTGAATTTCTTTTTGCAATTTCTATAAGTTAGTTTTGCATTTACCCTTGGATTTTATTGAGCTTCTTTACAATTCATATTTTGAATTGTTTATCTATAATTTCAATATTTTCATTTGGTTGCTATTTATTGCTAGAGAGCTTGTGTTCCCTTTTGAGAGTGTCCTTTCACTCTCATTTTCCATATTTCTGGAGTTCTTTCACTGATTCCTTTTCATCTGGGGCAGTTGTCATCACTTCTTATTTTTGGATTTTCTTTTATTTAGATGGGGCTTCCCCTACCCTCATTTGTAAAAGATTGTCTTTAACACATGTTGGATAAGAACATTTGGGTTTGCTTGTGGATGCTTTGATGGTGATCTAGATTCTGGATGCCTTGGTTATAGATATCCCTAGGGTGATAGTTTTCTCAGTTGCTAGTTGTTTGTAGGCTATAACTGTGGTAAGCTATGTGTGTGGGCAGATTCCCAGTCTCTCTTTAATAAGGGAGTATGGAGGTCTTTGAAATCCTTTCTCTTTCCCCAGCCCTGTGTTCTTCTTAACAGTGTGAATTTACTGGAATGCCAAGTTTAATCTATTAAACAGTAGGTGGTACTTGTGAGTAAGATTAAAACATGCGCTTTATGATTGAGTCAGTAAATACTATAAAGGGCTGTGCAAATTGATGTCCTTGTAAGTAGGTGGCACTTGCCAGAAGGAACAAGCTGCAGTGATGTTTTGGAGACCTGTGACCTGCTCTATTCTCACAAGAGAAGCACTGGAACACCCCAGGTGGGAGGTGGGGTGCTGGAACTTCAGGTGAGTCCTTATTCTCAAGCACAGCAAAGGGGAGTGAGGGAATGAGACTAGGTGTGGCTGGGTTAAAAATATAAACTCAGTGTAAATTATTAATGCTGTACTTTACTATAAGAAGTACTTTGAAAAAGTACTTTAAATCTTTAAACAAGAAAACTTAGGGTAAGGACCCATATAAAAGCATTCTTCAGTAAAATTTTCCAGAGACAATGTGGAAATGGTGAAATCATCTTTGTGGTTATAATTTTTGGCTAGAGCCAGTCCTGAAACATAAGTCTGATATTTTATTTAGTACTCTGTTTCTGTATAGCAATAGGCTTACAAGAAGAATAAGAATAAGAAGAGGAAGAGGAAGAGGAAGAGAAGAAGAAGAAGAAGAAGAAGAAGAGAAGAAGAAGAAGAAGAAAGAAGGAAGAAGAAGAAGAAAAGAAGAAGAAGAAGAAGAAGAAGAAAGGAGAGGAAGGAGGAGGAGGAGGAGGAAGAATTTGCATTACAATACTACCATATGTGTTCTTCCCCTGTAAAAGAATGAACAAAGCATAAGCAGGGATCCTCAAACTTTTTAAACAGGGAGCCAGTTCACTGTCCCTCAGATCATTGAAGGGCCATTGGAGAGTGTGGTGCACATTCCACACATGTGCACTGTGGGCTTGGGATGAGTCGGCTGCTAAGCAGGACAGGCAGCAGCGGCAAAAACACCAGGCAGGCCGGATAAATGCCTTGGGTGGGCCACATGTGGCCCGCAGGCTGTAACTTGAGGACCCCTGGATAAGGTCTCAGCATACCTAGCAATAAAGAAACATTTAGGTGGCATTCTAGTAACTATATATAACAAATGGTGAGTTTGTGGTTAAGGGTATATTTTCTGATATTCATTGGGAATGGATGAAATCTTTTTTATGCCTATTCAGATCCTTTTTCACCTTACTATCCAACAGCATGTGCTATGCTATAGTCATGGACAACCATTCATAGTTTGGTGATATCACCAAAACTGCTAGTGAGTACCCTCTAAATAAATACTTCCTGTCATCTATTTATGAATATTGTCCACTTCATAGGCTTGATGTGAGGATTAAAAGAGACATAAGTTTAGAAATCTGTAATCCAGCACTGGGCACAGGAATGGTGACTGCTACCTCTAATTGGGTTCCTGTTCTTTCTACCCCTAAGTCTGTTTCTCTGTGAAAGAATAATTCCTTCTATTTAATATTAGAAAAATTTCCAAACCTTATTTAATAAATACCATCTTTCATCAAATAGATTGATCTTTGTATGAAGTATTAACTTTCCTTAACTTTCCTGAAATTTTCTGAAAGCTTGGGATATTTATAAAGTACATCTTAAAGGGCTCCAGCAACATAAAATTCAATGCCATTTGGAATTAGAATTTTCTAGATGACTACTGTTGAGGATGGCATGATATAGGGGAATGAGGGGAGGAGTAGAAATTGGGAGCAGGTTTAAGAAGTTCAAGATCCCAGTAATTGTACAAATTTCTAATCTATTAATACTTTCCTTTGATATCTCAGTACCTTAGTGACTTGTGGTATGCCTATTATTCTTCTTCCAATCAGGCAGTAGGTAATTCTCAGATTACATGTAAGTTTTTAAGCACATTAGCTACTCCTCAAAAATTTCATATGTTGGTTTTTCACTTTCATTTTGTTGAAAAGAATTTCTAATTTTCCTTATGATTTATTTTTGATCTATAAATTTATTTTTAAAAATGTTAATTTCTAAATATTTAGAGCTTATATCTATTTTTTACTATTAAAATATCATTTAATTCCATTGTACTTAAAACATACTTTGTATAATTTCAACATTATAAAATATGAGGGTTAGTTTACAGCCCATATTTTATTATTTTTATATATTTTCCATGTATTTTTAAATATGTAATCAAGTCTACTATAAATATAAATTAGATATTGTTGTTTTATGGTGCCATTCAACTCTTCTATATATTTACTATTGGTTTCATCAATTATTAAGGGAAGAATGTTAAAATCCATAGTAATAATTATGGATTTGTATATTTGCATATTTTTCTTTTAATTATATCAGTATTTTATTTATCTTTTTCAAAAAGCTATAACATATATTTTTGGCATTTACTTTTTATTTATGTTTTCATGGGGTACAAGTATAATTTTGTTATGATAGGTTGTATTGTGGTGAAGTCACAGCCTTCAGTGCATCCATCACTAAGCAATGTCCATTGGACCTAGTAAGAAACCTTGCATCATCCAACCCCCTCTCACTGCCCTAGCCCTCTGAGTGAGTCTTAATTGTCCATCATTCCATACTTTGCTTCTATATGTCCACAGTTTTTTAGCTCCCTCTTATAAGTGAGAAGATGCAATAATTGTTTTTCTGTGTCTGAGTTGTTTTAATTAAGAAATGGCCTCCAGTTCCATCCATGTTGCTGCAAAAGACATGATTTCATTCTTTTTTTACAGTTGAATAGTATTCCATTGTGTATATGTACTTTCTTTCTCTAATTATCCATTGATTCTATACCATTGCTATGTGAATAGTACTGTGATAAACATATGAATGCAGATACCTTTTTTATATATTGATTTATTTTAATTTGGGTAGATAGCCATAAGTGAGATTGCTGGCTCATATTGTAGTTCTACATTTAGTTCTTTGAGAAATCTTCACATTGTTTTTCACAGAGATTACACTAATTTACATGCTCATCCACAATGTATAAGAGTTCTCTTTCCTTCCCATCCTCACTAACATCTGTCCCATTTTGTCTTTTTATTTTTTTTATTTCAAAGTATTATGGGGTACACAAAATTTTGATTACTTGAATCACTTCTATAATACTTGACTCATAGTTATAAAGGTTCTTGTCACACAGATACTGTTCCTTGCACCCATTGAGTAGGTTTTCTCCAGTCCTCTCCTCACCATCTCCCCTGGTTGATTTCTGTTGAGCTTTAATTTCCTATAAGTATATTTGTGCTCATTCATTAGTTCCAATTTAATACTGAGTACATGGGATGCTTGTTTTTCCATTCTTTAAGTACTTAGGATAGTGGTCTACAGTTCCAACAAAATTATTGCAAAAAGCATTACGTCACCCTACTTTAGAAAAAAATACATACATATACATATGAAATAATCATAGATTTATACTTTCTGTTGATTCTGTTCCTCTGGAGCATCTGGACTAATACAATAATTGAGTAACTGTTGATTTATTGATTTATAATAAAAATAGTATATTCTATAATTATCCACATATTAATTTCTTTGTCATGATTCATATGTTTTCTGTAGGTAAAGATATTTATATAGTGTCATTTTCCTTGTGCCTGAAGAAATTCCTTTACATACATTTTTTTTAATAGTACAGGTCTTATGGTCATAAATTCTCTTAGTTTTTTATTGTCTGAAAAAGACATTATTCTGAATTTATTTTTGAAAGACATTTTCATTTGGGCATAAAAATTCTTGGTTGATAGCCTTTATCTTTGGTACTACAAAGATCTTAATCCATTGCCTTCTGATTTGTCAACGTCAAACTTTTCAAAACGTGTGTTTCCCCCTGAATTTCAGTAGAGTTTTTTTTTTTTTTTTTAGTTTTTTCTAGAGATGTGGTCTCACTATTGTCCAGACTGATCTTGAACTCCTGGCCTCAAGTGATCCTCCTGCCTTGGACTCTCAAATTAGTAAGTCGTATTACAGGTGCAAGCCACAAAGCCTGGCCTGAAAAAACATTAAAGTCATTTTTTTTAATACTATTCCTCTTATGAGATCTTTACTAAGTTTCCTTCTACAAGGTATAATCTTTCTTTCTTTCTTTCTTTGACTTCCTAGTGCACTTCACATTCAGAGATTTAAAAACTGAAATTCATTATATTGATTATTGCATGCAGATAATAAAACAAGGTGAAGAAACTGAACTGAAATGGTGAAGGTAGAATCAAAACTTACCGTACTTGCATTACCAGCCTAAAATTCTATTTAACTGATGACTTCTTTGGATTTTTAAATCCTACTTTCTATTTAAGTTATTCTTAATAACATGTTATTCTTAATACTCCCTCTTCTCCATATCTCATACGTCCGATACTACCACCAACATGCACAGTGATATTTAAGCTCTTAGAGGCTAGAGATTATAATAAGTTTTTTATTGTGTCATCTGTGTTACTGAATCCAGACATTTACCACCTGCTGTCATTCTCACCAGAGGGAGTCAAGAAATGATAGCGGACCTGAAAAATTAAATCAAGAAGTTAGAGAAGCATTAATAATTATGATTTGGATAAAAAGTTATCCTCAAAACCGTATTAATTTTATTTCCATATTTCTACCGAATTGAAAAAATGTATATTATTATACTTGTATGTGCATGTGACCATATGGATATACACACTTATCTACTGAAAAAAATTAGCTTCTAGGTTTCTGCCACCACATATTTAATTAACATATTTTCTTACCATGTGAAATTATGCCTATTTTATGACTATAATTCTTCAATATCCTTAACTTTGTATCTTGCATATGTGTGTTCTAATTTTCATAAATTACCTGCCATTCAGTTTTATTTTTCTAACTAATTTTTATCTCTGGACAGTTTCAATTACATTTCTGAAGTGAAGGACAGATGAAAAGTAACGCAACCAGTTAGTTTCTCAAGATTACAGGAATCCTTTGCAGTAAAGTGCATATTGCTTCTTTTGGGGTTATATTCAATGAGTCATGACATATTTTTCTCCTTAAGAAGTATCTTCATCGCTTATGTAAGTAGTTATTAGAGTATTAAATGAGCATCACTTTATATTTATAGTTCTGTCTACATTTTATTTCACAGATAGCCACCTATCATTAAGCTTGGTTCATTCTGACATGCAAGTACCTAAATGGAATCTAAACCTGCATCCCTCAAGCTGGGCTTGACATCACATATATCCAGATAGTAAGAAGAACTTGCAATTCTGTATTTCTTCACAATAGAATCTTTAAGGGGATTAATACTATATTTCTTTTTTTTTTTTAATTTCAGCATTTCATGGGGGTTCAAATGTTTAGGTTACATATATTGCCTTTGCCTCACCTGAGTCAGAGATTCAAGCGTGTCCATACCCCAGACAGTGGGCACCACACCCTTTAGGTGTGAATATACCCATGCCCACCTCCCCTCTCCCTGACATCCAATTAATGTTACTATTATATGCGTACTTTAGTGTTGATCAATTAATACCACTTCGATGGTGAATACATGGGGTACTTGTTTTTCCATTCTTGTGATACTTCACTTAGTAGAATGGGCTCCATCTCTATCCAGGATAATACAAGATATGCTAGATCAAATAAAATACCTACGAATATATTTAACTAAGAAGGTAAAGTACCTCTACAGAGAGAACTATGAAACACTGAGGAAGGAAGTAGTAGAGGACACAAACAGGTGGAAAACCATAGCATGCTCATGGGTTGGCAAAAACAATGTTGTTAAAATGTCTATACTACCCAAAATGATCTACAGATTCAATGCAATCCCTATTAAGATATCAATATCATTTTTCATGGATCTAGAAAAAATAATTCTACACTTTATATAGAACCAGAGAAGACCCTGTATAGCAAAAGGAATCTTAAGCAAAAAGAACAAATTGGGAGGCATCAATTCACCAGACTTCAAGCTATACTACAAGGCTATAGTAACTAACACAGCATTAAGCTGGCACAAGAACAAGGATATAGACCAATGGAACAGAAATGAGAACCCAGATATAAAATCATCCTCATGTAGATATTGGGGAAATATGATTAAGGAATTAATGAAATGTGGCTCGTAAGATCATTATTTTATTATATTGCCCTATATTACTATATTGAAGACAGAAACAGAAGTTTGCAGGGTTTTACCCTTAAGGAATGTGTGAACTCAATGGTTCACTTATTAGAGGCTGCTATCATGGGAGAGCTTTATAGCCACTATAGAACTGGTATAATGATTTCTCAAAAAACTAAACAGAACAAGAGTATGCTCCAGCAATCTCACTATTTATTTTCAAAGGAAAATAAATCAGTAAATCAAAGGGATACCTGCACTCCATGTTTATTGCAGCACTATTCACAGTAGCAAAGATATGGAATCAACCTAAGTGTCCATCAGCAAGACAAATGGATACAGAAAATGATGTATATATACACAATGGAATACTATTTGGCCATTAAAAAGTCATGGCGTTTGCAAAAAATAAAATCTCTGGTAAGGATGTTTTCCAGGAAGGCTTCCTGGTATCTCAAAATCTGTGAGCTTCCCTGTATCTTGAAAGACAAGAGAAGGCAGATATGGCCCACAGGATGGGAACTGGAGACAATGAGTGCACTTTGCCCAGAGATGCGCCCCGGTGGTTATAAACAACCTGCTTTATAGAGATGTGCTTCCTGCTCTCTCCAGTCTGTCTGCCTTTAAGTCCACCATAACTAATCAAAGAAATATAGAGTCACTATACCTCTTTTGTTATGCCTTTGTTAATTGACAACTACCCCTTAGAATTTAGAAGTTAGCCCCTGAAAGACTTTGTACCTGTTTGTTCACCTAGATAGATTAGAAGCCCCTTGAGAGGACTTCTGACCCTAACCAACTACCTGTATCCCCTAGCAACTGCATTCCCTGATATGCAAATATGTTACCCTGACGACTGGTAATTGATGTCTGTGATTATCCAAACCTGTATGAATCTAACCATATTGCTGGCATTTATGGGGATATGCCAATCTCCTAAGTACCCCTCTGTGTTATATCTGATCTCTTTACATTTATAAAACTATAACTATACCTTAGTCTCTGTGTATTCTTTTACTTCTTTTTGTTGCCTCTCAATTTCCTTATCCTCTGTGGAGACCCCTCTCTTAGGGACTTGGCTCTGTGGGGAGAAGCAGCTGATCTCCTCACGGGCCTGCCTCAAATTCTCTCCCCTGCATGCAGCCATCTAATCCTTGACAAAGCAGACAAAAACATACACTGGAGAAAAGAATCCTTATGCAAAACCATATTTCATTTGCCATTTCCAAAGAAATCCATTTTCATCTCCAGCCCACCATCTTACTCACACTGACAGCTGGATTAATACCTTTCCTCATTCTCAGTGTACTTTGTTCTCCAAAGCACCCCACTCTTTGATACACAGACTATTTCTTACACTAAATTGGGTGGAAACAGGAAGAATAAAGATGTCGCAAATGAGGCTATAAATTTAGAAAGAGAAAGATTTGTATGGCATCCTTCTAAATCTCTGCAATTCCCCTCAGGAAGTCCATCCATGTCACTCAAGAAAGGCTTTGATTTTCCACACTGGAATGTCAGGCATTCTGGCAAGGTATCTGAAAAGGACTTTTAGGGTCAAAAGCAGACTGAGACCAAAATGCCTCAAATTTTATGTGGACTTCAAAACTACAGAAATGAGGCGGTAGAAAAAGAATGTAGTTCTTTTCTACAAGGTGCAAGAAAAAGAATGTAGGAGAAGTTCAAATAGATAGAATGAGACATATCCATATGACAGCACCACTGTGCATTGCCTACTTCCTTTAAACTCATTTTCTCCCCTGTACCCATTGTCTAATGAGGCAGGCAGTTTATGCCACCTACAGCTCTGCATAAATGGGTGAAAACCATTTTCACCTTCCTAAAGAAGCATTAACACCATTATGTCCAAACCAAGGTCATATACTATTAATATAAGACAAGGAACAAAATTATCAGATTAAAAGGTAGGAATCGTGGGAGAAAAAAAAAAAAAGAATATTATTAGCAACATCAATCTATAGCACTGCATCACCATGGTCAATAGTTTCTTGTTTTTAAGTATACCATTTCTATGTGTGTTGAGATTTGGGGGTCTGGTCTGACATGATAACCAATGAACAAAACTCGATTCTATAAAAACATATCTAAGATGGGAATGTGCCCACATCTGGAAATATCAGTCCAATAATACTTTTCACTCTCCTATTTCAAATGCTGCTTCATGCCCACCATTAGTTTAAGAATATTTTGATCTTATTATAAGTAGCAAATGAATTGTTTTCTGCTTTCAGGAGATCAGCCTGCAGTTGTTTATGTTCTGTGTGGCTCCATTCTTCCCTAACAGTTGTTTGGACAGGAGGAGATTTAGTGGGGGATGGCAGCGTCTTTGCTCTCACAGTTGAAAATTGGACACAGGATACTCTAGTTTAAAGGATGACTGTGCCAGATTAATGTACAATTTGGACTCCAGATGAATCATTTTCTGCATACTGTGTGGTCTGAGAAGCCAGGAAATCATGTTTGAAAACAGAGGGATAAATTGAATCATAATGGAGAAGTAACTGAGTTTCTGGTATCTTTTAATACTCTTTCTGTTCCTTGGAAATTGTCTGAATGCCTCCTTTCCTGTGGTTAAAATTAGATAGTCCTAAATTATTTTAATAATCAGGCCATACGCGGTGGCTCATGCCTGTAATCCTAGCACTCTGGGAGGCGGAGGTGGGCTGATTGCTCTAGGTCAGGAGTTCGAAACCACCCTGAGCAAGAGAGAGACACTGTCTCTACTATAAATAGAAAGAAATTAATTGGCCAACTAAAATATATAGAAAAAATTAGCCAGGCATGGTGGTGCATGCCTGTAGTCCCAGCTACTCGGGAGGCTGAGGCAGAAGAATTGCTTGAGCCCAGGAGTTTGAGGTTGCTGTGAGCTAGGCTGATGCCACGGCACTCACTCTACCCTAGGCAACAAAGCAAGACTCTGTCTCAAAAAAAAAAAATCAGTTACTAGTATCTAGCTTAAAATTCTATTTTTTTCAATTTTAAGTCAGTGTTCCTTTTTATGCATTGAATGAAGTGTTACACACTGTTGTGCCTCTAGCTCACCTGCTACTAAATGCTCCTTAATTGTAGAAAAGAAGTATCTGAAAAGATAAAGCATTGTGTTTATTAGTTATTTGTTATCCTCCAAGCAGTTTTGCATCTGGTATAAGATAGAGTATATTTAGGATAATAAATTGGTTATATTGCCAATATTTAAATCATCTTCTTGAGTTTATAGGGAGTGTGTGCCATTTATCAATCGCTCATGTGTCCACCTTAGAAAGTTACTGAATTTCTCTCTATACTTGAAAGTAAAGGGGATAAGTAACCATACCTACCTGTTTTGGTTTTTCTGAATACTGAGTTTATAGATCTAATTAATACATGAGTTAATACGTGTAGTTAATAAGTGTGAAATACTCAGAAATGTCAGCTATTATTCTTTTTCTCTAATTAAATCCAAGAAAAAGTCTCAGGGGTTAGGTAAGAAAGATTATATAAGATTCTTCTTTCTGAGGAGGAAATCTAGTTACAGCTATATTAAGGATCTAATTGTTAATGGCTTTAGCAAGGTAAGTTTCCAATATTCTTAAGTCTCATGTTGGTTATAAATTATCTACTAATGGAATTGAATTACTGGCTTTACAATTCTATGTTGTGGTCATAACAAAACATTTTCTTGATTGTGTTAACTTCAGGTGCTTCAGGTATTGTTTTGTTTGAGACAGAGCCTCACTTTGTTGCCCAGGCTAGAGTGCCGTGGCATCTGCCTAGCCCACAGTAACCTCAAAATCCTGGGCTCAAGCAATTCTCCTGCCTCAGACTCCCAAGTAGCTGCGACTACAAGCATGTGTCATGATCAGCTAATTTTTTCTATATATTTTTAGTTGGCCAATCATTTCTTTCTTTCTATTTTTAGTAGAGATGGGGGTCTCGCTCTTGCTC